ACCTCTCAAGTTTGATTGAAATGTGGTGAGATTGAAAATTCGCTGACGATATCGTTTGTCTGTCTGCATGTATGAAGGATGTACAAAACGCTTTTGCCAAACTTTCAAGTTATTCAACTACATGTGGTAAACACTGCTTCTCGAAGGTGCAGAGTCCTGCTTCAAGACTGAGTGTCGTCTACCCCGGCTCTGTTGCTTGGTGGTCAAGAATTATGGTATATTGTTACTCTCGCTTACTCAGTTACGTGACAAATGATGATAACATGTTCAATGAAACAACTTCCCAGCACGGGAAGCCTACACAGGACTGAATCATCTTTAGTGTAAACATGATTTTTTTTCTTGAAAAAGAAAGGTTGCATATACTGCTCCAGTGTTTGGTCAGTTTTGCTTTACCGTTTTGACATCCTTAATTTGGGCGTGAAAGATATGCATTGTTTAAATGTATCCCACTGTGTAGTTAGGCACCAGTTGGATTGAGCGAGCGCGTAAGTAATTCTGAAGTAGGCCGTCGAGTTGATCATTCAGTGGCAAATTCGTTATTATTATATCGGGTTATGCTGGCGCAGTGGTTTAGTCGCTGTCACCGACGTGCTTTGGACCCTGCGGTCCGAGGTTCGAGCCCTGCCACCGCCACCCAACTTTGGTGGTGGGCAGCTCTGCTGTCGTCCAGTTCAATACCACGCCTAGCCTATCGGGGCCTTATGTGGTTCACCACTCCAAGTTCCGGGGCTTATGTTGCCGATTTCAATTACTGAACAGCAGGTCCTCGTGACCATTGGTTTACCCCGTCTGCTGTTCATTACACCTAGGTGTGTAATAAAAAATAGCAATGGGATTCCCTGGTTAGTACCCCTATTGCGCATGTGCAGCTGTTGTCTATAGCAGCACAACTTACTTGTAGTCGCGGCTCCAGGTAAGAGAAGATCACATAAAGTTCAACAGATGACGTGAAAGCGCTGCATCAAGAAATGCATAGAGCAAGTGAGTGGAGTGAGTGTCTCGCATAACAGTTTGGGGTTCAAAAGACTGGAACTGGCTGGTTTTTAGATACTGAAGAGTATGGTAACTAACAAACGGCAGTGACATTGTTGTTGTCATTTCTTTTCAATTCCGATTGTTTTGGGAGGTTATGCATGCGCAGTTAGGTTGTACACTCTGTTTGCTGATCATGTGGGTTCGCTTTCTTTGCCCTCCTCCAGTGAAGCCCCATACCTGTTCATTTTCTACAGTCCCATTGGTTTCGTGTACATTGAGAGCTCGGCGATTGTCCGCAGAGTTCAATTCATTGTATCTCGCAATGCGGTGATTATGATGATGGGGATGATGATGATGATGTAATGGTCAATCCATTGCAGAGGCGTGGGTATTAGGAAAATGGCGTAAGAATAAACTTATGAATTCCAACATCGCTATCTACGTCGCATTGCACTAGTTTAATCGGGTGACCGTACAAGCTGAGGTTAGGCGTAGACCTACATATAATCGGGGTTACCCGCCCGCACTTTTATTCATAATTGTATCACTTATATGCTCCTTTGATTACATTTTAAATAAAAAATGTAAGTACAATTGCTCCCATTGTCTCAAAACAGATTATCGCAGCTCGCGATGCTAGTCGAGGTAGATGAAGGGTAACACTTTACGTGTAGGCATGAAACCCAGACCAGGTGACTCGGTCATATAAATCACCTTAGACTTCTGGATACGAACCTCGAAATCAGAATCACTAAAGATCAGGAGCACTGCGCGACGTACGTGAATTTATTTAGCAGTTGCACTTGTGTATCTACCTATTGTCCTTGCAAACTTAGTTTCTATGGATTCTCTATTTTCACCTAGACACCGTTTCGAACCTTTTCATCTCCCCTCTGCTGCTTTATCTGAATAGACAATCAAAAATAAGGGCAAGCAGAACCGTCGCACGAAAGTGAATGTCTAATTTTTGTCGCGTAAACTGAAATGTAAACTCCCCTTGTGAGCTTTTAGATAGACAACTATATATTTTTCTTTCGAAATTAGATTGTACTGCAACAGACAGAGGGACATGCCTCCCATCCTCCCTTGAAAGCTTTGGATATCCCAGTGAACGAGATTGTGGATCGGGTAATTGCTAAATCCTCTGTGCACAGTGATAAACAGAGAGAACTCACAAACTGCGCAGTTCAAACAGAAGAAGAGCTGTATCAATCCTATTCAACAAACATTCAGGTAAGGCTACCCCTCTCCCTTTCCCTTAATTCTTTTATATTCCGACCGCGAATTCGCGACGCTTAAGATTCCTTTCTTGGCTAAAAACTCAAGCAAACACTGTCTGGTGGTGTATCACTCCAAACCATTTGAACTGAAGGCTGCCCGCTTTGAATGCATTTCGACTTACACCTCTCCTCGCCCGATTGAAATATCCCCGTAAAACGATAAATGCTCCCGTTATCTAGATATCTTCGTCTAAATCCATACCAAAGTATTTATTCTGGTACACGTTTTGGTAGATTGACTGAAATTGCTGATTTCGATTATTAGCATTCATTGTATATTTCGTGTTACTGTGAATGCTATAATGAATGGTCAAACTTTCAGTATTACCATATTGATTCGTAGTCACCTCTTATTCTTGATGCCTGGACGGTGAAAGACTTCGTTTCTATAACTACAACTACAAGATATCAAATTGCGCACTAAATTTCCTGAATTGTTTGAGTTGATGAAACTCGGAATTGTGAATCGTTTACTCTCCCACAAAGACCTGCTCTTTCATAAAAGTTTTGATTAGCAGTCTTCTTGTAAAATTACCCTGCTGTTCTTTACCTTTTGACGTTTGTGGCCATTTTCCGAACACAGATTATCGATGTTGTACTAGAAAGAGATTGTTTCCCTGCAATGGTGTGAGGTAAATACCAACCAGTATGGGCATTACGAATTTGTGTGAGAGGTTAAACGTGTGAAAATCACAGCTGTTTTTTGTGGCCTTCTAATCTCTGTGATAGAAGGCAATTGACTGATACAAAGAAGGCATGCAGTATCTGTTGTCTCTTTAAGCATGGATCTCCTGGATTGAGAAGACCTTTATTAATTAGCCAGTGGATTGTGGGAAGAAGTGAAGACAATTGCATGAACAAGGTGGTGGCGGCGCAGTGTCTTGGACCCTATGGTCCGAGGTACGAGCCCCACCACCGCCACCCGACGTTAGTGGTAGGCAGCTCTGCTATCGTCCGGTTCACTGCCTCATCTAACTTACCGGGGCCTTATGTGGTTCGCCACTCCAAATCCCGGAGCTTAGGTTGCCGGTTTCCACCACTGAACAGCAGGTCCTCGTGACTATGGGGTTCGCCCTGTCCGCTGTCCATCATGTTTAGGAGTATAATAAAAAAACCTGGGTGGAAAGAAGCAAAACAATACTATTTGAATGATCTAGACAAACGTTGGCCTTTATTTACTGTGTTACGTCACTGAGAAAAATGACCAATAAACAAATGATTAGCCGAAAGGTGTATTGATAACATTTCATTCGCTTCAAATCTCCAACGCATTCTATGATAAACTACTCCGCTTTCTTTTTCCCTATCAATCGGCTTAAATGAGAAACTTGTAACATTAAAAAATTGCATATTCCAAAAGCCCACTTGCATTGCGTTGTGTTCCAGGCATCTGGTGGATCCCTCACTTCAACTGAAACCGGCTCATCAGTTGAGAGAGTTAATACGGATCTCATCACCCAAGTGGAACGTTGTAAATGTACAATACCTACTTTACCTGATGCAGCACAAACTACGCCAGTTCGAAGCACAAGAATTGGTTGCGTGGTATCATCCGGGAAGGAGACACCGGTACAATTATTAAAATTGGAGGAATCAATAAATCCGACACTGGCAGTACTTCCACCGCAACCAGCACCCCCACCACCACCTCTGCAAATACCACCACCACCACCACCTTTTGGAATAATCGGGCGACAGACTGCTGGGGTAGTTGGTAAGCACTGCTGTACTAATCAGTGGCATGTAAGATACCTTATACAGGAACAGATTATTTTTGTGTGTGGTCGAGTGTTGACAAACAACTAGACAATTCATGTGACGGGATGTTCAGTTAGTAAGAATCAGAAAGGAAAAGAAAATCCCTGAAATTACGGGATATGCACAATTAATTCAAAGAGGTGAAACCGTAAATTTTCAAAGTTCCAGCCTATGTAACAGGATAATTGATGCTTAAAAACAAGTTCATTTGAAGAAAATGGTAGTCTGTGGGTGCGTGCAGATTTCCATGGATATGCGCAAGTGGATAAACTGTTTGGTAGTGAGTTAAGTTGATGAGTCAAAGCCAGATCTGTTATAGTAACTTTGTGCTTGTAAGACAAGAGTCGATCTGAAGACGACTGCCACTTTAGCTATTGCGTAGCACTGATAATAGATTGGAGATAGATAAGATCAAACAAATATTTAACCAGTTCCGTGTGCAGAAAGTAGAGCAATACAAAACAAAAGTAATCCTTAACTTAAAAAGCATTTTATACCATAGTGTTTATGTTTATTTGTCAAACGCATTGAATGGAACTATGGTTCTTGCTTATCAATCCAATTCGTACGCTTTCTTTCCAAAAATCAACGCTTCGCGCCGCCAGACTCGCCACTACCGCATAATATGAAACCAAAGCGACGGTTTATAGCTCCCTATCGACTCAAGAAAGTATGCGTATCACCGGTAAGTAACCAAAATAGTAAGTGAAAGCAATTGCGTAGGAAATTGCAACGATTTTCGGTTTCGAACTTATTATCTCAACCATTCCAGAGTAGTTTTAATTATAGGCCGTTTTTGTAACTTTCAGCTGATGCTTTTACTGATGTGTTTAATAGCAAAATCCTTTCTTGGACAACGGGTTTTAGTCCATGCCATTTTATTCACTATAAAATCAGCAGTTGAAATCGTTTGTACGTTTTTTGATTAGAGCATGAATATCCAGGGGGCGATGCCCAGGGAGTCTTCACATTGGTTCTGTGCATATAAACTCTTCAAAGATCCATTTGTTCTTTTAATTTTTCAGAGTAATCTTTCTTATGAGTGAATAATTCCGATAGATTCACTAGAAAACAGAGATGTGGCAAACAAGCTTGGTTTCAGTACTTTATCTACTGGTCAATTACAGCACATTATAAAACTCGGAAATAACCCAGGGAGACAGTCAAATCAGGGTTTTAGTGTGTGTTAAATGAACGTTCAGGTGTTGGGAGAGCGTAAGATGTACTAACACTGACCGCGTGATTGGTGATAATCCCCAGTTCGTTAGATCGCTTTGCCTCCCATGGTCGTGTGTCCAAAGTGCCCCACCTAACACATCAGTCGAATATTTACGCTCCACAAGGGATTATCACCAATCATGCGGTCAGTGTTATTGCATCTCCCTCCCTCTCAACCCCTGAACGTGCATTTAACACACACTAAAACCCTGATTTGACTGTCTCCTTGGGTTATTTCCGAGTTTTATAATGTGTTGTAATTGGCCAGTAGATAAATCACTGGAACCAAGCTTGTTCGCCACATCTCTGTTTTCTAATCTCTCTTACTTTCAATACTTGTCTGAAACAGATTATCAGAACGCTTCTTCGGAAAATCCATTCCAAATGGTCCCTAAAATGAAATCAGATTTTGGGATGGTGAATTTTACTGTCGATTCATTCCTCCTGGTTACACTCTTCTCTGACTTATACTGGCTGGTAGGTTGTTGAAGGATACACTCAACTGAGCTGCTGGGTGCTGGTGAGATTGGACAACACAGTTTCTCAGACAAAATCAACCGGATATTTCTAAATGCTTACACTGAATAAGCAAAATGTTGTTATCCCCTACCCAAAAGGGATGGCGTTTCACATTGTTTTGCTTCTGAATTTCCCTTTCAATCCAGAGCTATAGATATACATATACATACTATGGACTGGTTCTGAAAGAGCTGTCCTCTTAAATTTATCCGTTGTTGCTAACTAAGTTATTGTTACAAAAACACACTTCCTGCGTACAATCATCTGAATGAAGTAACCAAGTGTAACCGGATTTTCTTGCTTGATAAGCGGCAAGGACCAGCGAACCGGTATTGTTTTCCAGGGAGGTTTAGTTGAGTAATTGGTATACTACTTATTTTGAAATATCTATCTATCACGTATAATAAGCACCTTCTACTCATTCATTATGTAATAGGCGGTGAATCTTATGTCAACAAATAATAGGTATATTCTTGTTCTCGTTTTAGTTGAGCAAAAATCGTCTTGATGAATGTTCCGTTTGGGTTCAAATTGACGAAAGCCAACTACTGACCGAGGGATTTATCAATCGCCTTCATCGACGTTTCCGGATCAAATCAAACGCAACTAAGGTAAGGGAAACCGGGGCTATTTGAAAGATTTGTTTAATCCATGAGGTTTAAATATTTCCCTGTCCCTAAATAGTCTAGTTACTATACATACTCCACCGGTTTTCAAACTTCATGGTTTTGCTGATTTTAAAGACAGGTTAGACCAAAACGAAGTGCTTCACTTGGGATTCGTAATAAGATATGAATAAAACTCAGTGATTAACGGCCAAAATTTTTCAATCACTTTCCCCTCACCGTTTTTGAGCTGAAATAATTATTCATGCAACGCTGAATAGTAAGACTATTTGCTATTTGCTTTCATGGCGTTTGCACTGCTTTGGTTTTCACTTTGATCTCAACAGAATGGTTGCACACGCTGCACGGTACACGAATGGTAGGAGTTTCCGTTCACATTCTCTAATTGTTCAATGCTTAAAAACAATTTTCTACAGGGTTTTTCACCCAAATCATTCATGCATAAGGTGCACTCATATATTTCACACATGGCTGAGTTCAGTCTGTGCGCCAAACAGATCGCGGTACAATAATCTTTACAAAAAGAAAAACCTTCCATGATTTTCGTGTGGGCTGAATACAACCAGGCTGCACAGGCCAAGGCAGGTGAATTTTCTCGGGAAATCCACAACCGAAGTCTTCGGCTAACCAAAACCTGACCTACAAGGCAGCGGGCTGGAGTGTGAAAACCGCAGTCCATTGGGAGCCGGTGTCCGGTCCATCGGATCATACGCCTCTCGGACGGGGTCAAATGTTCAAGGTGCTCAATACACCTCGATGCGCAATCGAGCCGGTGCCCACTGCCACAAGGGGAAAGGTGTGGGTGTGGTTTGTACGCCTTCTCTTGGTTGGTTTGTAATCAGGGTTTTGACGAACTCCCTAAGTGAACTACCGGTGGTCCACCAACCCGGTTACAGCTCCGAGTGTCGGCTTTTCACCCTCACTTTGGTGATAAAACAGCTCTGCTACGAGAAGGCAATGATAAGGACTTCCTCAGCGGAGGCTAATTGAAACGCTTAGTAGTATGGCAGCATTTCGTGAAGTGCAAGGGAAGGGGGACCAGTCGCAAACCTAGACACCCATCCCCGACCATAATGAGGATCTTGGAGGCACTGAGTAATGTAATTTTTAATTATTTAATTAATTAACTTCCCTAAATTGCTTTCCCGTACATACTTATTTTGGGTCTGTGAAACTCAAATAATTTAGGCCTTTATAGATCGTTGACACTGATCGAAAATGACGACGGAAAATTTGTGATGTGAAAATGCGGTAGATAAGCCAGATAAATAATTGTTGTTGACACGAAATCGCTAAATTGAAATTGACCCCTATCCGCCTACCATTTCATGCTTCAAGTTCCGAAAAATAAATCATAGGTTCACTCCTACAAGATAATTTGTTAAAACACTGAAATGAGGGAAAACATTTATCTATCAGAGTACTTCGTATTATTCGTGGCACGTCTGATTGGTTCCGCTTATGCGTTAAAGATGAAAAATATCACAACTGGATTAGATGCTGCTACTGAAATGAACAACAATTCTTTTATGATAATTTTCGAAATAAGGACAGAAAAACCCTAAATGTGCGGATGTTTAATCACTGCGAAAATTTTCACGTAATTGTGGTTGTTGGTACATGTCCTCGTGATTTTGTTCAAAGGAAATTATGTTATTTTACCGAGGTAACCATATGAGTTTTGAAATTGCTTAGTAGCAGTTACTTGATAAATTATAAACGACAGGAAATTTCTTTTTAGATATACCGCTTCAAATATTTGCATATATAGTTCTATTAGTGAATAGATCAATACGAGGCCTAAGCTGATGTTCAATGGATGTGTATGCAAAATGTCTATTAAAAATAAGTTATGGGTTCACAATAAATGAATAGAGAAAAGGGGGGGAAAAGGTGTTACGCGAGCAATCCACGATCTCACAAGGCGCGAAATCCACACACACACACACACACACACACACACACACACATACAAAACCATTAAAAGTGCCCTTGTCTCTGAACAATCGAATGGGCAAATCTAAACGAGGTACATTAAATTGATTAAGTCATTCGTACAAAAGAATGACCGTCGACCGTGTAACGCAGGAGTAAGGGTTCAAAGCCCCATCCCCTAATGTTCACTGTTCGAGTCCTGGCGGAGACAAAAATTACGCACTGCGAACAGGAAGAAACAGCTGTAGAGTGCTCCTAGTCGACCATCACAAATATTTCCTTTACGTCTAAAGTAACACGTAATTAACCAGTAAAACCATAAGAGTGATGGGTTATTACATATTACGTGATCGAGTTTCCTTATATCAAATTTTAGTCCCAAGAGGTTCGGTCTAATCTGGAGCAAACCTGTTCCTCTTTAATATGCAAACTTAGAAAATTGCACACAAATAGGTGTTGTCATACCAGACGGTGATTTAAAGGATATTTCCACCTGATTGCTCTATCATTTAGTTTACATCTTGCCATGATTGATCGAACTTTTTTTAGTGAACAGTCCTCACTCACCTTGGCACGTCAATAGTCCGGTCATATTAACTCATAATAACTCATCGCAGGTTCCAGGTTCTCAACAGAAATCTTTTATTAGCTCTTTCCACTACTAATCATGATAAATATTATGGTATGCTATCTTTTGAAATTACAATGACAATTGTTTCATTTGAAGCAGAAAATGCATCTATTTTGGATTAATTTAATAATGAAACAGATTGTGGACGATCAGGAAAGTACAGTGACCATGACCGTGGTCCCACCCAGTTTCTCCACGAATCCGAACGAATCCCAATCCAAAGAAACTCCATTTCAACGTTCTTTGCGATTCGGTTCGAAGCGACTACATGCAAAATGTTCAACACTCAACTTGCTCCCAATGAATGCTTCACGGGCTGTGGCAATCTCAATGGCCTCCGCTCATCTCAATGCTGTCGATGTGGCCCGCGCTGTGATAGAGCTGAGAACAACCATCGTCATTCCAAAATCTTCCCCGGTCGCCGATTTGAAAACCACTGAACACTGCTTGGATTCGTTTGTGAATCAAATGCTACCGGAATCCATCATTGATACACTGTGGAGTAATCTTCCACCAATGGAACAAATTCTTCGCTTGTCCGATACACCTGTGGAACAGAATGTGAGTCCTGCATTAGACGAGGAGTTTTTACTTTTCTGCTTGCAACTTTGGAAATACAAACTATTATTCGCAGAAAAATGTCTATCCAAATTCGTGGAACTTTTCTGACAGAACCTATGTCTGGTTCAGTGAGCCCCTCAAAAGGTTGATGGTCATGTAGAATAATGGGTCATGACAATCTATTTTACCAACGGTAGCCAAATGAGTTCAGTGTGATAATAAAGTGTATGAACAAAAGAAGTTGTTTTAGACCATTACATTTTTATCCAGGGTTATTGGCCTGATTTCATTCCACTCTAGGTACAAGACGATTAGAGATATTCAACTGATGCATATTGAAAATTAGGTGTCAAATTCTTTGGAAATCAAGCAGATATCACAGGGAGTGTTCACTTAAGACAAAATAAACAGTTTAATCGTTCACCAGTTAATTTTTTTTCTTTCGGTGTAGTAGTGGAACTTATAGTGAGAATAAAATAGCTAACCCTCACTGTGCTAAAGATTGTCAAGCGAGAATTACTATTCCAATTTGTTTTTATCCGTTCTTCAGCGGATTGCGCGGTAAGGCTGCACAAACCGATTCGCTCTCCATCGTGCGAGTGTCCAATGCAACTGTGGTTTCTCAGCTAGTCTTTTGACTGGCGTAAGAAATGCCATGCACTAAGCAGTTGGAGAAACTTCGCCAGCACGAATGAAGAGCCTGAACTTAAACCGAAGGAGTTCTTATCTCAACTGAATGAATGCGGTCTCTAATATTTCATTGTGGTCAGAAATAAATTGTGGGTACAGCAAATTGCGATACTTTATATAGATATATATATATATATTTTAAAATAGTTCACATGTTCTGACATGTTTTTCATCGCATTAGTACATAAACTGTCTGTCTGAAATTGATTAACTTTATTAACTTCAAAATACACCTTTCATTCTCTGCAAGAATCACCTCCTAATTAAATGCAATATACTCTTTCGTAGTTGAACTTTGCTTTAGAATATGATTCTTCATTTTATGAATGGTGAACTGTTGATGCATAATACATTCTTCATGATTTTGTTTACACCTTTTAACTTTTTAATGACATCAACCTTAGGTCCATTGGCGATGGTAAATTCCCACTGTTGAGAGTTAAGACTTTGTCACGATCTTCTCCAAATACTTCTTAACAAACCAGAAACAAATACAGATTCCTTACACGCTACTGAAAATTGCCTGTAAAATCTCCATCCGAGGCCTGATCATTTGGACAATGTTGACTACGAATCCTTATAAATAAGACAACTTTTGCCCTTCGCTGATTCATTTGTCATTCTATCCCAGTACTGGCTATACTCGTCATACAAAACTGTGGTGCTTATACAAAAGGTATTCAACAAAACGTTAATTTGATACGAATTCAGCTACCTCAGCAAATAGATGTGGATAACGTTTCCTTGAACTAAGTGAATAAGCCTAGCAGTTTCACTTCAACTAAAGTAATGTAACACTGTACTGATCCTGCAATTTTCACTTGCACATTTCTTAAACACGCGTGATATATTCAGGCGTTTGTATTGTTCCATGCTCCATCAAACCGTTTTTGTTCACAGACACTCATCGAAGCGGATCAGCTCCTCGTATTGCTCTCCCGATTGCGACATCGACTACCGGCACATCTTCATGCTATCCGCATGTTGCTCACCTTTGACAACACCGTAGAGCAAATCAAAACTGCCTTCATAGCGGCCAGTACATGTCTGACGGAGTTGCGAAATGCTGCGTGCATACCCCGGCTACTTTCGTGCGGTCTTGCTCTGGTAAACGCCCTAAATTCAGCCGGTCAGATNGAAGCTGAACAGTGCAAACCAATAATTCCTGCAAGAAAACCTCTGGTCGGCTTTGAAGTGACAAATTTGATGCGACTAGCTGACACGAAAGATACTACAAACAAACGCACTCTGGTGGATTACTTAGCTGAACTGATGGAACTAAAGTTAGTATATAAAGGATTAGAAATAATCCATCCTTGCGTTTATAGCAATTAGTCTCACACTTCTTTTGATTAAATAGGTATTTATGTAGTTGTGTCTAGGATTTCGAAATGCGGCACTTGATATTCCCAAAGGTGATGGGAGTGTTTGCGGCATACAAACGATGTGCAACTGAATGACGACGTTTTATCATATCAGGTGATAGTATGCTTTTAATTGGGATTTGGTTGCATTCACTTGAATTCGACTTAGTATACATTCTAAAAAAGGCTTTTATTTGGTAAAGCTTCTAAAGCGAACGAAGTGACAGTATTTTCTAGTTGGTTATTTAATTTACGATTCATCATGCCATCAGGAACCTGAGCCCTATCAGTTAATGTTGAGCTGCAGCAACCTACTGCCATCCAGTCCGGAAATCTCAGGAGGTTAGCGTGTTGAATTAATAAAGGTTCTTGCACGCGTTCGATTAGATTAGAAAAATATTCGCTATTGCTGACCCCTGAAAAGGACAGAACATCAGCTAGTGACAAGTTGAATTTATATGAAGAATATAGGTTCTGAAACAGAAAATATCTTTCGAAGTCACCTGTAATACACTTTTACTCTGTATCCTTCCTTGTATTTTAGATTCTACATGAGGGACCTAGTACGTTCAATCATTTGTGAATTATCCGGGGATGTACGCCGTTTACCTCAAGTGTTTCAGCTACATTTAGCACACACTAACACAATGGCTTGCTCACAGATTGGATGCCCAAGAGTACTCGTTGATGATGGATGAGGTATTAGGGTTCAGCCATGGTTCGGAACGGGAGCAACTCCCAAGGGTCACCATTTTTATTCATATACTTGTGCAGAAACTCGTCTAACATTTCTTTTGAAAATATGTTTATTCTATCTTCCTTCGGTTTTCAAACTAAATCAAATTGGAGATGATAGGGTGACAATAAACTCTATTCTTATATGTGGAAATACTACTAAGGGACTGCATAGCTGTGGATGCTGAGTGGTTAATTTGGGTAGTTGTAAAAAAATATTTGAGCTTAATTTTGTTTTTATTTTCACCACAGCTTTGGGAAATCTGCACATAACTGGTCAGATGAATTGCCTACACTGACACAAGCTCAACGCCTGTTTTGTGCAAAAGAGGTGGAGGAAAGCCTGATAGAACTACGGAAGAATGTGGCCAGACTGGAAATCGATTTACTCGGGGTTAGTCTGGCACGGTCATCTGCGATGACTGAAGATTCTTGCTCTGAGGAAGAACCAATATCGGATGTGGTGCGCGCAAACTGTGCATACAAAGACGTTATAAGTCAATTCTTGCATGAATGCGTCCTGTGGAAAGAAACCATGCTTAACCAACTGCATCACTCTTTCAGTGACCAATTTGCTGAGGTTAGTTTTGAGTGAATCTGGATTCAAATATTCAGCTTTTCTCTGTAATTTGTTACTCACATTTCTGGGGAACTAACCTTTCATACAGTTTGTATCTCACTGGACAGTGCCATCCATGACGTTCAAGTTTTCGAAAAATCTTTATTTATTGAAATACAAGCTACATGCGAATCTTCCAATCAGTTAACTTCGTTCTGTACCGTGTTTTCAAAAATCAAACACCTAAACACTGATTAGGAGTGGGTCATGGCGGACGTATTGTATACAGAAGTTTCGTCTAATTTGTTCCGGTTAAAAGGAGTTCGAAAAGAAATCAAGCAAGCAAACTGCACATTCTGGCCCGCCGTATTATATTAGCCTTGAGGAAAATCAAAATGAAAACGGTTCTTCTGTTGACGGGCGTTTTACTTCTAGCCGTCATCTTTTGTATGGATGGTGCTATCACAGTCTCATTTGTTCCCGATTGAAACGGATGCTACGAGTTTAACACCGAGGCTAAACCCAATAGTGGACTCCGGTTTTCGACCACAATTTAGGTTGACAGTAAGATCTCATTTGTCTTATTACTGAAAATACAGCAAACAAAAGTCAATAATTCGGAACAAATTTCACACTACTTGCCATATACTAATTTATGATAATACAAACTTCTTCTTTGATCAATCGTTGCTTAATAACCGGTTCTTGCATTGTTTTTGTCTGCAGATATCCACATATCTGACGCTGGATCGATCGAAATGCACTGCTGATCAGCTATTTGCCGACTTTTGTGCCTTTCGTGGTTTGTATCAAAAAACCATCGTCTATCAGCGAAATACACAAGAGAGGAAAGTCGCACAAAATATTGAGTGAATGGTCAAACATGCGTTATTTACAGCCAAAGCCACATTTCCCATTTTATCTAATCCACTGCTTTTATGAAACACTATTAAACACAATATGAGTTTATTCGCATGTGTGTACATACATTTTAAGGCGATACAAACTGTATGTTCGTCGGAACTAAAGCGATTCTGCTCGTTTAGTTTGTCGATATTACTTTTATACCCAATCAAACTGTGTTTCGACTCTGAAAGGCTTTTGCACGACTGTGACAAAGTTCGAATTCTAGTGGGTTTGGGTAATATTCGTTTTTTGTGCTCATCCACAAAAATAAAATATTACGTTGTCAAATGTGCTGAATTAGTTGCTGAAGGAAATTGATGATTTTACATTTTACTTTGATAACCATTTCTCAAGTCAAAGAGAGAGATAAATTACAATAAAACGGCATCTTATAATCCAATTTGACACCTGTGAAAACATATATTTGGTATACCTGTAGCTTTTTCGGTAAACAAAAGTCTGTAAACTAATCAGAATAATACTGCTTCATAGATATTCTACCTGAAAGAAAACAATTCCACAGTATATCTTGGATTAGTTTTACCCAAATACCAAGCCGTTTTAACGACCAGAATGTAGACAGTGAGAACAATGGGAGTCGTCTGATAGGGGAAAATTCCTTGCGAAGACTAGATGCTATTGCAAGGTAATGCCCGGAAATATTGATTACACAAATAAGTGCTTTTATCTAATACACTTCACACGTGCTCCAGTCCATAATATGCCGAATAAATCACGGTGCAAAAAATTTTATAATCAAGTAAAGGGCTCACGATTTGCTAATACTATAATACCATAATACTATTCTCCAGGTTTGTGGTTCAAACCTGTTAATTTATAGTATGAAAAATGTTCACAACATATATAGTTTGCTCCCTGCGATCGATGGGTCGACAAAGACCTATGGTCTTGTTCGCTAGCAACATACACTAGATCACACACCGAGTATGCTATCTAAGCTTGAAATTCATGACTGAGTTATGAACGTTTGATGAGAACGAAGGTCAAAGGGTGGCAATCCGAGAGCTACGTTAAAAGGCTGCGAATCCTCTTACTCTATTTATCTCTGTACCGCCTAATTTAGAGAGCAATGGTTCTCGTATATCGAATGCCGCATCAACTTATGCTGCCGGTGTCATTCCTTCAGCCTCAGAGTATATAGTAACTGGAACTCCTCCATCCCAAGCTTTTCGTGCCACAAGCACGTGATAATTCTTTATTTCAATATTTCATTTTACTGCCATCCGAACCCATTATGCACAGATCTCTTTGGAGGTAAATACTTCATCTTTGTACATTGTACATAAATCATAAATACACAAATAGTACTACTGTTCTATTATTCCTTAAATTCGCATACCTACCAGTTATTATCTTAGTTTACCCTCCTAACAAGTAGGACTACCTAAATCGAATAGGGAATGATGAACGAACTGAGTCAGCGGTTTGTGTAGGCGAATCAAATGATTTAGGTTCATCGAAGTTGCTGCTTGGCAACACTGGTCATACGTCGTAATAAATGAAGAGCTCTATCGAATTTCGGTACTGAATATAGACAGAGGTTAGTCATCTTCGGCCTCCCAAAATCGTTAGGGAGGTCTGTGCACCAATGATCACTTAGTCATTCTGCTGAAGCACTCAATTTGCCAAACGTGCATTCTAGTGGTTTCCGTGTTATATGAAATAGAATTTTTGGCTTGATCAAATGAGTTCTGTAAGTATTTTTCAGAATACGTGTTTTGTATCTGAACCACGGCTTTTTGATGCGTGATGACTGAACATCTATTACTACTATTTCTTTTGTGAATAGTAACTGATTTCTAAATGCGCGTCCCCCGTGACAGACTACTGGCAAGAATCCATGAGACAGGTAGGGCCTCAGATATTTTGTTTATTGCTCCAATACTGTGTTAATACTGTGAATTCGTCTCATCCTCACGTGCGGTGAGCATCAAGTATCACAACTACAGATCGCTCCAACTTAAGTGGGCAATGCTACAAACTTCATTAATTCTGTCCATAGATGAGCAGCAGTTACGAACCGTTCAGTCAGACAATATTGTACCCAATAAAACAGACCAACCTAATCAATTTGCAATCTAATGCATCGAACACTGGTCATTGGAAATGGTAGAAAGCCAATAAAAGACATTGAAAAGAACTCAGATGTGTGATTATCAAAAGCTGCTGAGGTGAGAGTGAAATCGTTGTTCACCTGGTAGGAAGCGCAATGCGAATAGAGTCAATGCAGGGAAGAGAATACCAGTAAAATTATTGATTAGTTTATAATTCAAACAGAAATGTGTTGCCTTCTGCTACTTTAATAACACCATGGGTCGTTAAAAGTTCAAAATCGTCCACACCAGCAGGTAGTAGCCAACAAGAATCGCAAATGACCAACGTTATGGTGGGTTTGTCGTCGTCTTGTTTTGCAGTCTGCTGTCAATCAATCAACCTTTGAGAGGCAACCTTTTTGGAAGACGCATATTTTTCATGGTATTTAGAATGTATCAATACCGCGATCCCAAGAACACGAATAGCAACGATCTCATTATCATACAAGTTATTTTCATTTTCGGTCAACCCGGTGGAGCTCCGCCAGTTCGACATGATTTGATTGGTCAGACTATTTTTGCTCTGTGTGTGGATAAAGATTATCACCCACACATGCACAAAGGTTATCGCACTATCTGGATGGTATTATTTTCTTTAATAACAGGACAAACGCATAGCATTCAATCCCATACCCAAAGATACAACTACTTACTGTGCACTGCGCATTCTCACACGACACGTCGTGTTCTTCTGCGGTAGACAGTTTTGATCTTGATAAAACGTGCGTTTGTGAGACCACTCAGTGCTGAAACATTGATGTTTATCTAGTGCTGTGGCCTATATCATCATTCCCGCTAGATCCTCTTTCCCCAAAGCCGATCGCATAATCTGTATAGACAAATGCATGTCTCTCGTTCAATTGGTTTCCAGTCAACCGCCAGTACTGCATACGTTTGGCCCTTTACTTAATTCAATTTACTCTCGCGGTGCACCGAACTGCGAAGAGATAGCATCAATAAAATGTGAGTAAAAAATAATGAATGTTTTCATACGTCTATCCTCGGAACATCTGTTCTCTGTTCCCAAGGGCCAACGTTGGGTTTGAAAAACGAAAACAAAAATAAACTTTTACATACGGTTTTCTCGCCGTTCAGCATACAGGCTGGTTTCCTGGCTATTGTTCTGTTCCTTTCCGACGAGTTGTTTGCTTTTTCTTGCGAAAATGGCAATGCACAACGAAAATTGAGCAACTTTTTGTCGCCGTCCCAATTCTTTTGTTTACTTTGTTGAAAATGGCCAGACAGCGCGAAATAAGAATACTAACAGATTCTCTGTCAGTTATGTTTTTCTGGATGAATGGGAATAGCAGTCTCCCCATTCGAGGGTATAACAATCTTCATTTAATGGTGAAGTATTGTCTCAAATAAAAAATATCCCTTCATATAAATCCACTACCCATATAGCAAAATGTTACTTATCAGACAAGTGCAGCTAAAACTATCCAACATAATATCGGCCACAAAACCCTGAAATTCATCCAACAGATAGAACTCGTCAGTGATAAAAATCCAGTACATGCCCAAACCCATTGGCTTAGCATAATGTATTTATCGCTGCATCTCTCTTTTCTGTCATTACATTATTGCCGGTAGTTATTGCGCTGCACAACAGAGTATGCAACTTCTATGCGTACGTTGGAATGTCGCCGTTGCTTCACTAGGTCCCTACACAGTAGTATTCTGGGACAAAATTTTGGCTTCATTGGGAAACAGGAGATGCTCTTATGGGGCTCAGTATGAATACTTTAGAGGCCAATATAAACGCCTTTGTTTGATCGAGTCTGTTTGCCTATAATCTATCAATCAGAACCTGGAGGAGCAGATCACCACGATTATGTTGAATAGAATTTTTGAGTCTTGGCTGAAACATGACGTTTGAAACCAGATGGCTTGTATATTGTCCACAAAGATCTTATGGGTGACTGTCGCCCCGTTCAAATAATTGGGTGCTGCTAAACTTCAGGGTCATATATTAAACATATTCGATTCTGAGCGACGATTACCATCAGTAGATATAGGAAAACGATAAGTATTTCTTGCACCACCACAAAATCCTGACATACGATCAAATAACGTACTAAATGTTGCCACAGTTATCATTTAACTATGGACAGAGACGCTTTTACAGGCCATAGAATTCGGAGTCATGAATGTGATGGGAAGGTATAACACAGTAAATTCTCAACCGTTTTTGATTTTATGAACTGATTTGGCTACTGGTTGTCTCAAAATGGGCATTGTTACAACTCACCTCCAGAACAGTTTGGCTCTATGCTTCACTAACATAACTCTGATTTATGTAAGGAATTAGAATTTATTTGAAGTCAACACTGGCCTGTTACGCTATCATGCACCAAATGCACGGTGATCAATTACAGAGAAAGAAAAAAATCCTTCAAGTGAATTATTCTGAACCGGTCTGCATCGTCAAGATCAAGCTTTCGTTTTGATCGGTATTAAGACATCTATTTTATGTGGTGCACACTTGCCCCACCTCCTGGGCTGACCAAATACTATCGTGTACTAACTGTTTGTTAAGTGCAGAGAATAATAGAGCTTGACTGAACTTACCTCATTTTCTAGTTTGTTTATTTGACTTTTCGAGGATGTACAACTTCATTATAATTACAAAGTGCTATTTCGGTAAAAACAACTTCATCACGGTGTTTGCAAACAAAGAAACCTCAGTTGTGTTCCGTGATGCAAGGAAAAGTACTGTTGACGAGTTCCCGATTTGTTCAATGTTCAATGTTCAATGTTCTTCAATTAGAGGCAGAGGGTAATTTCCCATATGAGCCTCATCACCACAG